CATCATAACCATACCTTACAGAGAACCCGCCAGCTCAGCGCTCGACTGTTTCCAGCTGGCACTGGTTGAGCAGAAGTCTATAGCTTTGGTTGACGAGGAAAACCGACTGATCGGTGAAATCTCACCTTTCGCATTGTCGTGCTCGGATGAGACAGCTGCCGGAGCCATCATGGCTTTATCGGCGTTCGAGTTAATGACGTATGTGGAGTGCTCTCGACCGCCGGAGGATTTGGTCCGTTTGGTGAGAGTGAAGCTCCGTGAAAGGGGTTTTGATGGGATGGTTGAGTTGATTGACGAGCATCTTAATTCTTGTTGTTGTTGTTGTTCTTCGTCTTCTTCGTCTTCCGGAGAGTTCTCGTCGGACGAGGATTGCGGGCCGAGGAGAATTAGCCGGAGCTGCTCATCGGCAAGGAGGTCTGAGGCGGTTGTGTGTAGGCCCGGGAGCTCGTTGGTGGCTGTGATGATACAAGCACTCACTCACCGTGTGAGTTGCGTGTGGGTCGTGAATGAGGATTATGGGGTCGTGGGGGCCGTGACTTTGGCAGGAATTTTGAAAGTTTTAGGCGGGAGGGACGGTAGGTCGGAGGATAGACTCGGGAAGATATAGAGAGATATTTTGCGCGCCTATGAAAATTGATGTGTTTTTGTTTACTTGATACTTTTTGAGGAAATATAAAAAGTTTTTAGCATTCGAACTTATAATATATCCTATGTTTAGAGTTCTTGGATATGATCAGGTCTTTTATATGATAGGTTTTGGGTGATATGCAATGTAGCAATCCAAGTCTTTGAAAAAAAATCTGGGCAAAATTGCATTTTTAGTCTTGGTTTAACGTCATAGCAATTTTAATCCCAAAGTTCCAACATTTCACCTTTTGGTCCTGTGATTTAATATTTTGCTGTATCAGTCCTTTCCTTAAATGACTGAAATTGCAACAAATTTTCAAATTTTCAAATTCCCAAATTTTCGATTAGCAATTTAAGACCTGTAATTTAAAATTTTGTTGCAATTTCAGTTCTCAAATTATTGAAATTGCAACAAAATGTTAAATCGAAGGACCAAAAAGCGAAAAGTTGGAACTTTGGGACTAAAATTGCTATGCCGTTAAACTAACAGACTAAAAATGCATTTTTGCCAAAAAATTGCAGAAGTTTGTTGTGTCCCAACATTTATGAATATCACAAGATGTACACTTTATTGTTTATTCCCACATTAGCATAATAATGCAGCTAAGCAGGAAACATAAAACAAAAAGGTTACAATAATGCCATGATATTTTCACATCACATACCTATCTGTACCAGTAGTCTAACTCGGACATGCACAACGATAGTGCCTCTCTCACGGGTCGGTTATCAGAGTCCATAAGAAGTGCATCTTCGTATAACTGTTTGGCTTGCTGCAACAACTTCACCTTTTCTCTGCTTCGACTTGGCCTTAGCTGTGACCTGTGCTGTAATGCTGCTCCCCATCTGAAAAGAGCTGCAATTCACCCGTTTTCAATAAATTAAATGAAAAAAAAAAAAGCTCTTATTTGCCTTCACTCCACTATACATGATATCATCCTTCATATACAGTTGCTTCTCTTATGGAATGCTTGTTTATAAGTTTCTCCTAAAAAAATCCAATCATTTTTAACTCAACCACTTTTTTTAACTCAACTTTAACTCAACCCACCATCATCAATATAATTAAATAATATCAATCAATCAACCCACTATCATCAATATTATCAATATAATTAAATAAGGGGGTGTCTATATGTACACCCCCTTGTGTGTAAAAAATGGGTGTACATATAGCACTTTTCTTTGTGTAATTTATTAAAAGGGGGTGTACATATAGCATTGCCCTTAAATAATATCAATCAATCATTCTTACACACAACATCAACTTTAATTTACTATTCATCTACTCACATAATTTTAACTAACTATCACATCACATCTTCTCTCTCCTACTTTTACATCAATTTAATTTTAATCATTTTATTTTAAAAACTATTTTAATATACCCACTAACAATTAATCATACCAACTTTTTCAAATTTAACCAACTCAAACCAAAAATCCAATCAAAACAAAACAAATTTATATTCAAGCATGCTCTAAATCCAATTAGATGTTGACTGTTGATATTCATTTAATACACATGTGGTACTCTGTGTGGTAAAGAAATGCATGGTATTAGGTAAAATGTATCGATACCATCAGGAGCATAAACATTGCTTTTGGACATCATGGCATCGAATTTGTCAATGGCAGCCAAGAAGATTTTGTCCGCATCACGAGCTGCGCTCTGTGATATGGAAGAGAAAGGTCAAATAGAATGTAAAATCGAAAATACTGAAATAAAATGCTTCTCATTCACTGAATAATTTCAGTAGATTTTATCAGCCAGGTGATAGGATGAGAGTAATATTAGCTTTAGACTATACTGCGAATTAAATCTTTAGGCCAACCATTCTTAATATTTGAGTGAGAGATATCAGCTGTAATTTAAAATTTAAAAAAAAAAAAATCTGAACTCAAAGAAGAATAGATACATATATATAAGAAAAAAATGCTTACTGGCCCAATATCCGCAATCAACTGCGCACGAAAGGTAAGCGCAAGGCCCCAATTATACATCGACCTCATATCATTCCCATCAATTGACAAGGCCAGTTTGTACTTCCTCCCTGCCTTCACAAGTAGCTCTTCACATTCTTCACAAACGTTCACAAGAGCTGATGTGATCTCATCCCTGTCGTTAAATTGATCCTCAAGCTTTTTTAGAACTTTCCCCAACTCCCCATCAAGAAAGTGATCACTTCTCACAAGTAGGGATCTCAACTCTCTACTCGTTGTGAGTTTCAATTCTCCGTGAAGCAGATACGTGTTCCCCAGCTGGCCTACGGCCAATAGGCTCATTGGCCTCATATCAATTGCTTTCGAGAGTAGTAATGCCGACTTTTGCAGTACAACGTCTGCTCTACTCATGTCAATTTCTTGTGTCAAACACCCTTTTGCTTCTTTCAAAAGATTATTAGCTTCTGAAAGATACCTATTGAATTCTAAATCAGTACCGAGCATCGAAGATTGAGAAGGCCCAATAATGCAATCATTTGTGGATTCCTGATTATTAGCAAATGATGGCCTCTTTTCAGGACCGAAATTCTCCTTTGTGTAAAAGTTCCTTCGGTACACTTGTTTGTCCTCTTCTGTGATTTCTAAATGCAAATAATTTCTGTTCAGCGTCTCACTTTTCCGCTGGCTGCGATTCATACTGACGCTAAAATCAACAGAACTGGACGAGTCATAGTGTGATGAGACCGTTTCAGTTTCATCCAGATAATCTTTCACATGTATTTGTTGGTTGTTCGAGAATTTTGACGTCTTTTTCCGGTGACTGTAATTTTTCTGGTCCGAAACTGCGGGACCGTATAACTCACCCAGATTTGTCTTGTCATTTTCAACTAACATATCTTCCATACCAATCCCATGAAAAGAACTATCATTTTCGGCCCTATCTCGTACTGGAACAGCGTTATCCATAGGATTGTTCAATGTAGACGCACTATTATTTTCAAAATCTTGATTTGGTGCAGAGTTTACATTTCTATTTTCAAAAGGACTGACTAAGATGTTTGCTGGTTTCTGATTCTTCACTTCTTCTGCATCGTGCGATTTCACCTGGCCAGAGCTTTCAACTTTACCAGCCTTTCCACCACCAAACTTCCATCCAAAAAAACCATCAAATTTTTTTAATGAACTGTCGCCCATTTTTTTTCCTTTTCTTCCGGGATGAAGCTCAGAAACTACCCCATTTTCTTCATTGCCGCCTAGTGCACACTGTATACAATTATCTACAAGATCTATTGTTTTCCCTAAATTCTTGTCGACTGATTCTATAAAGTAAACATAGCCTTCTAAATCATTAACTGTGACATGATTGCGATCTATACTTCTTTCAACACCTTTCTTCAAACTTAAAAACTCGGCATTGTACCCCTTCAGATTATCCCTCACGTCCCCTAATTTCTCAATCAAACCCCTGAATTCATCCTCTATAAGCTTTTTCCTGTTCTCAATTGATCTTAACTCTTTAAAATTGGCCCCTTTGACAGACCCAACAGCAAATCCAAGAGCAAATACAATGGCGCTAGCTGGAAAGAGCATAATTGTGGGAACCCTAACTCTAGAAATGGCCAGGGCACAAACAAACCCAAACAGATAAACAAATGCATACTTCTTATCACCGATTCCAATGGAGCTCAAAAGAGTGTAGAACTGGTTTGACTCACCGGAGCTGACCGAGTCGCCACCGAGCTGGAAGTCATCCCAGCCACCGTAGCTCGGCGATTGAGGAGCTGCGGCGGAGCGTAGTTTCAGAGTTTTGAGAGTATAACGGCGTTCCTTTTGGTGAATTTGGAGAAATTCGTTGTGGTTTATGCGTGATGAGAGGAAATTAGAAGGTATGTAAGGATCAAAATGGAAGCTGAAGTTCTTTTGAATTAGGGTTTGCATAATTGGATTTGGGGAAAAAAAAAATTGATTCCAAATCAATCGGACTGTGTGTTCCAGTTTTGAGAAAGGAAAAGTACAAACACATTACATATGATCAGTTTGGCAGACAATAAAAAAAAAAATAATAAAAATAAAAATAAAAATTGAATTTAATAAGAGCAGGGTTGATGACCCAGGTGCGTGAACCGACCTGTTTTTTAATGAACCACAAGCTGCCACTTGGCAGCTT